CAGGACATATTTGCATGGCAGATTTCTAGGCTTTTGTTGTAGCACACCCAGCCAGGAGTGTGGAAATGCCAGGAGGAGTCCCTCAACCCTTAGATTTTCGTCTGCTTTGAAATGGAGAAGCCTGGTGTGGGAACCACATGGCCAGTCCTAGCTTATCCCCTCTCTGCTTGGGCCTCAGCAGAGACAGCTCTTGGCTGCATCTGCATCAGTTCAGGATATGGGCAAGATCAGAGCCAAGGTGATGAAACTTTTTCTTTCAGAGATGACTCAGAAAGCATCGACCTTAAAGTTTGAGGGGAGAGCAAGAGGGTCCTATGTAGATGGGTTATCTTTTCTTTTCTGTTGATTTTTGGGGAGGAGGATAGGGAGATCTCACCCATATGTTATTGCGGCAGCTGTTACCAAGCTTACAGGAGCCGTGCTTACATCAGAAGCATTTTTATGTTTAATGTTTTATTATTATTTTTATATGTTGAAAGCCACCTAGAGTGGCTGGGGAAACCAAGTCAGATGGGTGGGGTATAAATAATAAAATTATTATTGTTATAATTATTAGTATTATTGTCAGACTAACAGACCCATGCGGGAATTGTGCAGTCGGCAGAACTATTCTTGTTGCAATTTTCATCACCTAAGGGACAAGATGGTAAAATGACAGCCTGTAAAACAAGATTGCAACACCGGCCAACCATGAATGCAAAGAGCTAATTTTGTTCTCATTTGCAAACTTCAAGCAGGTGGAACCCGAGTTACTGAAGCAGGGCGAGGACTCGGCTTCTGGGTTCCTCTGTCGGCTCAAAGGCAACCTCATGCTAGGAACTGTGAGCCTTCCTTATGACACACCTCGTTCTTTGCCATACAGTGGTGCCTCGCAAGACGAAAAGAATCCGTTCCGCGATTCTCTTTGTCTAGCGGTTTTTTCGTCTTGCAAAGCAACCCCATTAGCGGCTTAGCGGATTAGCGCTATTAGCGGTTTAGCGGCTATTAAAGGCTTAGCGGCTGAGCTGCTAAAAGGCTATTAGCAGCTTAGCGGCTTAGAAAAAAGGGGGGAGCGGGGAAAAAATGGCAAGACTCGCAAGACATTTTCGTCTTGCGAAGCAAGCCCATAGGGAAATTCGTCTTGCGAAGCACCTCCAAAACGGAAAACTCTTTCGTCTAGCGGGTTTTCCGTCTTGCGAGGCATTCGTCTTGCGGGGCACCACTGTATGTGAATGATGGTAATTCTGTCTTTAACGTCAAAGGAATAGGTGGTTGCTCACAACCTCCTGGGAAATTCAATGCAGCTTGAGTTGACCCAGGTGATGGTGAGTTTGGATCTTGCCATGTCTCTGTTCCTAAATCTGGGTACCGTGCTGGGAGGAGAACAAAACCAGTAGGGCCTTTTGGTGGTGGCCCTGTATCTGTGAGCATCCTCCAAAGGAGAGCTTTTAAACCAGGCACCCCTTTCAAAGAAAGGCACCCTCAGCAGTCCTCCTCCATCCCATGAGCAGAAGCAGACTTCCGGCTTTGAAGGTGCGTTCATATGACCGCTTACTCTGCATCCAGTCCACTCCCGTTGTTGGGTATTGTTAGGTTCGCACTATGTTAGCTATAATCCATAGCGATCCTGTATTTCCTTGACAAATACTGCTGTTGGAGGTGGTGTTGTCCCAAACCCACTTCAGTCCAACTAGAAAACTGGATGAGTGAGTGGTAACATGTGTACATGTGCAGAGGATGGTTTTGCGAATAGACGTTTGGGTGGTTATGGAGAGGGGCAAACCCCAAAGGCCACGAGTGTTGGGTGAAGACATCCCCACCCCCTTCTGACCTGAACAACCCCATGCAAACATGACTTGAAATGCAGTGTGTGTGACCTTGCTGCATTTTAAGCTGCTAATGTGAACTGCCCCTTCCTTTAACCCTGGCAATGGGGCAGCTCCCGCTGTTGAACGTGCAGGCAGCAGGCCAGCTTAGGGGCCCACAAGGCAGCTGCACAGCACATTCAGCTCCCTGTCCCTGCTGTATCTTTCTGTCTAATGGTAGAGCCTGTAAAATGGGCACGTCCCCTTTCCACCAACAACCTTGGCCTCTTTCGATGGAGTCGGGCCACCCTGACTTAAGCAGCTCTGCTTGAAGGGTGGCATTCTCTCTCGCCTCTGTTTTTCCAAGCCAACCAGCGCAGTCACCAGAGGGGGTGTGTGTGTGTGTGTCTGTCTGTCTTTCCAGTCACCCAATCTAACAAGACCACCAGAGCGAGTGCGGCAAACTAGTAGTCAGGGGCCACGGAGCTTTTCTGTGAATTCTCTCGTTTCAGAAGAAAGCCAAGGGCAGGATCATTGTGAACTTGTGAAAGGAGGCAACTTGTGAAATTAGGTCAAGATGTGGAGGGCAGATAAGGGAGCTCAAGGAGGCTGACTGTTTGCCACAGGAGACATCAAAAGCCACGTGGGCCAGGCTTCCTCTGAGCCTCATCACCTCTGCAGCTTGGAGGCAGATACCATCGGAGGGTTGGGGCCCCTGGCGATGAAAAGGAAAGTTCCTCTCTGCCAGCCAAGCAAGCAGCCAAACAGGAGCAGCACAGCCAGGGCCCCATCTCTTAGCTTATTGCAGAGATAAATGCTGTGTGCTTTTCATCCATGTTCACTCAGAGGATTCTCACATACTGACTTCGCTTTTCCCTGCCATGTTTCGTGTCTTCGGAGTGATTCGCACACAGAAGCATAGAAGAGTTGGAAGGGACCACAAGGGTCATCGAGTCCAACCTCCTGCAATGCAGGAATCTTTTGCCCAAGGTGGGGCTTGAACCCGCAACCCTGAGATTAAGAATCTCATGCTCTAGGTTGTTTTCACAACAGTCCTGTAAGACAAGACAATGCGGCAACCGTCTCCCCACCTTACAGGGAAGTGGACATGAAGGAACTCTGGCCAAGACTACAGCGCCTTGTTTACACTCAGATGGTGAGTTCATAGGGGAGGTGATTTGAACACAGCTCCCAGCTCCTATTCTTAACTACTACACTTATACCAGCTTCCAGCTTTGGTGCCAGCAGCTCCTGGCAAGTTTATTTCGATCAGGCTCAGAATCTGAATAAGGCCCTGCTCTCCACAGGCCATACTGCTCCCTGGCCTGACCCTGCACCCTCTGGGACTGTTTTTGTCTGGCTGGGATGCCTTTGGCTTGGCTTGATGGAGGACAGAGAGGGGTGTGTGGAGAAATTAGCCCACCGTGCAAAGGTGAGAGTCACATTCACTTGGGCCAAAAATGTTTTCCCGCCCCTACAATATAACTGAATGTAATTGTTTTGACGCTCACACCATGTGGGGTGTGGACTAATCTCCCAAAGTCTCCAGCAGCTTTGCAACGATTGAAGATTTCCTCTCCCTTGGCTCAGATCATTATACTCCCACTGCTGAAGGGAGCCAGTCTCCAGAACCCCACACCCAGCCCAGTTTTCTTATCAGCACCTATTCCTGCAAACAGAAAGCACTCGTCACAGCTTGAAGCTGAAGCATCCAGCCACTTCCTTCTGTGCACAGCTCCTAAAAATGATCTCCCGACCCCACAAACACACACCAGTTCCCAGCCCCAGTAGAGGCGCTGCACTTGGGGAGGAAGAATCTTGCATGAGAGCTTGTCAAAAGCGCAAATCTTTCCTCTCGTCCCACCTGACTCACGGAGTCAAGGGTTGCTACTGGGGCATTGCGGTTCTAGCAAAGAAGGACAACGCTGAAAACCTGAAATTTGCTCTCCTCTGATTTAGTGCGCAAACATATATCTGTGTGAGAGATGCCCCATCAGTCAAGAGACAGACAAGCAGCCTCTCATCCCATCTGCAGGCTGATTTTAGCGAGTTTATAGGTGCTTGTAAACGGTTAGATTTTCTTTCAAGCTGAAAAGGTGCTTCCGCACACCCGATTCAAAGTCACATATCTGTTCGTATCTGGATCTGAAGCATCACTTTCGCATCGGGAGTCAAAGGCGGCAAGTTAACCTAGCGATCTGTTTCAAGCTGGCTCCCCAGGGTTGAGTCACAGGGTTTCGATTCATTTTCATTTGTTACTCAGTTATGTGTCCATAAATACACATGTTCCTGCATGCATCTCCCACCCTTCCTCTGGCACAGCCTATTTACAGACACAAGAGCACGAGCCAGGAAGGCTCCAGTTCATGGCTGGCTCACTTGTGGCCTCCAGATGTGGCTGGACTCCAACTCCCAGCAGCCCTTGCAGCCAGCATGCCCAATGGCCAGGGGATTCTGGGAATTGCAGTCCTGCAGTGTCTGGAGAGCCCTGACAAGGTCCCCATCCCTGCCTTATCTTGGAATCAGACCACTGGTCCACCCGCATAGCTCAGTACTGCCTACACTGACTGGCAGCAGTTCTCCAGGGTTTCAGATACCTGCCCATTCCAGCCCTGCCTGCTGTGGACTGCACCTTCTGCATACAAGGCAGCCCCTGAACTGCAGCTTCCCGAGTTCAAATCTCACTTGTGCCACTAGGCAACTAAGGCAAACTGCTGTCTCCAAGCCTTCACCCTCATTTCACTTGGAATATGGGGGAAACAACAGCAGTCTGCCTTGTAGGACTATTTGTCAGGATTACCAGGGATTTTTTTAAAGCAGGAACTCAGGGGAACTCAGTTCCCTTAGCGGAGCCAAAATATCCACCTATATCTCTAATCAATGAAGATGTGGCCATTTCTAATTCAGATCATTGTCTGCTTGAGTTTATTAATCACATCTTACATTTAGCCACTGCCTGGGGTTCAGGGGTTGGCACTGCGATTGGGCCCACAATAGACAGACAGACAGACAGACAAACTTCACAGTGATTTTCCGCACCTTTCCCCCCAGAAAAAACATACTGAGGAGCATAGATATGGTGCAGGCAAAGCACTTTGTACATCTGACATTACTACAGACATGCTAAACATAACTAAGGGCACTAAGCAGAGATCAACATTTGTATTTTGGGAAAGGGCCTGCATTCTGTCTGCCCAGCTACCCCCAGGGCCTCACCTGTGTAGCCAGCCAAGGCGGCCGCAGGAATGACGGGCTTGTCCTTGTTCATGTCCGCCCGGTCTCGAACATAGTCCTTGAAGGTGCCTTTGGGCTTGTGGCTGGGCAGGGCCGCTGGGTAGTCCTCAGAGTCGAAGCTGTCATAGGAAGGGACACGTTGGAGACTCTGGAAGGAAGACTGGCTGCTCCACGACTGGGTCAGGCGGTCGCAGCTGTCGTAGCTCTCGATGCTCTCAAAGGAATCCTGGCCCCCGAGTTTCCCTGCGAGGCGAGAAGGAAACGAGGTTGGCGGAGAGGCAGTGGGGCCTAGTGGTCAGATTGCTGGACTAGGGCCTCAGGGAGGACAGGGTTCAGGTCCCCACTTGGCCCACTTGGGTGACCCTAGGCTGGATGCAGCCTCTCAGCCTAGCCTACATTGCAGGGTTGTTGTGAGGATAAAATGAAGGGGAACCGCGCACACCACCCTGAGCTCCTCAAACGAGGTGCTACATAAAGGCAAAAAATAAACAACAAAGCAGAAAGCTTGCATGCAGGTTAAAGTATTCCCCATATTAAAGGGGAGTGAAGGTTGAGGAAGATGCTGATTCAGAGACCAATAGAAGCCCTGCTTGGTTTGGGGCAGGCCCTGCGGATCCAACCCCATACAATCAAAGCCCACCCCAATGTACACTGGAAGCACTCGACTTTGCCCAGGGAGTCCTGGGGGCTGCATCTTCCACCCCACAAGGAGACGCAGTTCCCAGCCCCCTCAATGAACTGCAGAGGAGGCGAAGCAGCACAGAGGCAGATCGCATGCCTTGCATGCAGAAGGCCTCAGGGTTGCCTCCTCTTTGGATGGTCAAGGAGCAGGTGATGTGAGAGCCCTCTGCCCTTTTGTAAAGCTAGAGATTCATTGGGGGAAATGGGCAAATCCTGAGGTTCATCTGCAGAGGCGTCCTATGTTTCCATTGCAACAAAGGCCGTTTTGTTTAATTGCTTATATAATTTATATCCCGCATCTTCAGAACAGATGTTATGTTCTCCAACGGGATGTTTTGTGACTACAGAGCAGTAAAAAGAAGATCCATTCAAAATAAATAAACGCAGCAGGCAATATGACAAATTAAAAAAAGAAATAAAAACAGCACGTCAGTTTAAACACACTGGGAAATCAAACAACTAAATCTAACTTCTCAGAACCTGACACGCACTCACCATCTCCAGTGGCTTTTAAACCCTGTCTTCACGATTTGCTGGTCAGGTTTACTCTAGCATGTTTTCACATGTTAAGTATATGCCCAAAGCCTTTTGGTGCACCAGAATGTGGACAGGAAGCACAGAGCACCTCTACCTTTTCTTCCTGCTAACGACTGTTCTGTGCTTCCCAAGGAAGCATAATAATTATTTAGTCTTGTCTTTCGAGGGATCACTTGATCAGATGCCAAACCTGCCAACTGTGGACTCCCTGTGCAGATTATGACTTTTTATACCAGTCAAAGACGTGAGCCCCTATTTAACCAGACGCATTCAGAAGAGTTTTGTTTTTTGTTTGTTTGTTTTTTTTAAAGGGAGAGACGCGGAGAATTCTCCAGAATTCCTCAGCTTGACTGTTGCTCAATCATTTCTTCTTTACTGACAACCTCGGAGCATAAGAGGATCACTCAAGTTCATTAATTTCCCAAGCCGGACTGAAAGCAGCTGCTGGGATTGTGTAAGATCTCTTAAGAGCAAATTCCGCTGGCAGAGATGCTGGCAGTGAAGACCCAGCTACTAAATCTAAAGAGGCGAGGAGGCCGAACAGCTGGCAAGCCTGCCCACATATTTGCTGTGTCCTATTTCAACATCTCTAATTCAGGTGTGGTAGGGATCACCTGCGCAAGGTAGCTGGAGGGCCAGGTTTTAGAAGTCTTTCTAGACAATGCAACTTTGGGAAGCTTAAGGGGCCTAAAACTCAACCAGAGAGCCCAGGTTTTGCATTCTCTACATGCTGGTGGACTACAACTCCCATCAGCCCCAGCCATAGCTGTCAACTTTCCCCTTTTCCTTGGGAAAATCTCATTCCTTCTTATATGTGGGGTAGGGTTGCCGACTTGTGATTTTTAAAGGGTTCCATTACCTCGGCTAGTGCGCCCCATGCACATATTATCCGGCGTTACGACCTCCTGCTTGATTGTGAAGTAGTCGGTAGGCAGGGACTCCATCTGCACGGGGTCCCGGAGGATGACGGAGGAGGGGTACTCGTTCTCGTACTTGAGAGACAGGAGCTCCTCGGAGCTGATGGGATGGAGGGTCTGGTAGGACTCTGTGATGAAGCTGGGCTCAGAGAATTCCGAGGGAGGAACACACTGAGCATGCTCAATGCCATAACCTGAGAGCGGAAAGAAGACCGCAAACTGAATATGATCACCCAGGGCATTATTATTATTATTATTATTTAGCTGGAACTCTCTGGAGCTCTGTTCTGGCACCTTCTAAGGGAGGCATTTATGGAGAGTTCCAGAACCTCTTTTTCTAGAAAAATAGCATCGTTGTTGTTGTTGTTAACTGAATTTATATACCATCCTATACCCGGAGGTCTCAGGGCAGTTCACAGAACCATTGCAGTTCTTGCTGTTATCCATAATGATAATAGTAACAATATCATCACCATTAATTAAGAGAAAGAAGCCATAAGAGTCACATTTCTTCAATTAATAATAATAATTGTACCCCGCCCATCTGACTGGGTTTCCCCAGCTACTTTGGGTGGCCACCAACAGATATAAAAACATAATAAAACATTCGAACATGAAAAACCTCCCTATACAGGGCTGCCTCCAGATGTCTTCTAAAAACCAAATCGTTGTTTGTTTCCTTGACATCTGACGGGAGGGCTTCCACAGGGCGAGTGCCACTATCGATAAGGCACTCTCTGCCTGGTTCTCTGTAACCTCACTTCTCACAGTGAGGGAACTGCCAAGAAGGCTCTTGGTATTTTGCTCCTCGTATGCTGCCTAAACATTGAAAGGATTCCCGGTGCTAAATCTTGTACTCAACAGGGGAAAAACAAGGGAGACTTACTAATGAAGTAGTCTGATGTATAGCGGGATTCTGGGTAGGCTGCGTTCACTCCGTTTGCTGGATATGGCTTTATCTCTTCTACACAGAGGATGGGAGGAATGAAAGGGAAGGTGCCCAGTTAAGTAGCAGTAGTAGCAGTAGCATTCATTCATTCATTCATTCATTCATTCATTCATTCATAAAAAATATTTGTATTGTAATAAAGGGTTTTCTCAGGATGGTGGAGGGTGCATGTGCCATGTCCCATTGGTTAGGTGGCACTCGCCCTTCTTCTGATAGGAAATGCCCTACACGGGGGGGCAGGAACGAAAATAGAAGGTCAAGGACGGTCATTTTTTTGGGGGGGGTGAGAAATGTCCCTATTTTCACCTGAGGAATGTTGGCAGGTATGCTCCTAGGTAAACATGCACAGGCTGGCACCACCAGTTTCTCACACCCAAACCCAACATGACATTCCATGGACCTGTAGCAAAATCTTTTATATTATCTAGGTAGCTCCACACACCAAACACTGAAAGTCTCAAGGTTTTTACTCAGAACTGCACAACCACATTCCCCTTCCATCAAGCCTGACAATGTCCATCATCTGAGACGTTCTTGATCTGTTTGGTGGACTGGGTCATGCCAGGATACATGACCCCCCCCCCCCGGGGACACTCAGAAGTGTGGGGAGGGCCCTCTAACCCCATCAGCAATTACAAAACCTTGCAGTCAAGAGGTGACTCACCTACCGCAGGCCATATGACTGGAATAAAAACAGCAGTATGCTGGCTGTGATTGCTTCATTCATTTGGGCACATTCCACTTTTATTTTGTCTCCCCCTTCCAAAATAGCCTCCACTTCCCCGCAGTCAGCAGTGCCCTCTGTCTGACTGCAACCCCCATGCAAAGTTGACCGCGGCAACCTGGCCCCGCCTTCCCCTGTGGTCACACACACCGCATAGCTTGGCAAGCCTTGCCAGGAGGGGAGGGGGCACAAAGGCTGTGGAGATGCAGTTCACACAGGCCTCGGTTTGTTCAGCCCACCCCCCTTCATCGCTGCCATCCCCAGGAGGGCGGCCAAAATTAGTCCCTTTTGAATGAAGGCACATTATCTCTGGCGAGTCTCTGTCTGGGCTCAGCAGAAACAAACCAGAGCCGCAGCCAGGCCCTGTTTGGGTTTTTCTCCTCCTTGCTGGCCAATACGTGAGGTCATAGCCTCACAGGATCGTAGCACTGGAAGGGATGCAATGGGTCATCTAGTCCAACCCTTTGCAATGCAGGAATCACAGCTAAAGAACCAATGAAAAATGGCCATCCAACGTCTGCTAAAAAAACACCAACAAATGAGGGTCCACTACCTTCTGAGAGAGTCCATTCCACAGTCGAATGGCTCTTACTGCCGGAAAGTTCTTCCTACGGCTTAGTAAGAATCTCCTATCTTGTCATCTGAACCCGTTGTTTTGGGTCCTACCTTCTGGAGCAGGAGAAAACAAGCTTGCTCCATCTTCCGTGTGACAGCCCTTCAGATGTTTGAAGATGGCTATCCCGTCACCTCTCAGACTTCTCTTCTCCATACCCAGCTCCCTCAACCGTTCCTCATAAGGCTTAGTTTCCAGACCCTTGATCATCTCGATCACCCTACTCTGCATATCTTCCAGCTTACTAATGTCCTTCTTAAATTGTGCTGCCCAGAACTGGACACAGGACTCCAGGTGGAGTCTGACCAAGGCAGGCTAGAGCAGCACTATTAATGCAGACGTGAAAGGCCACAGCAGAAGAAAAGAGGCCTTTCCTTCAAAAGTCAGGAAGCGAGGTCACCACCTTCTTGCAAAAACGTCCATGCCAGTTGGACTGTCCCATTGGTCCTGTGGTTAGGGCAGTTGTGTCACGTAGACTTGGGACTTAATGGCACTTAATAACACAGAGCATAGTTAAACAGTGGTGCTCATGCAAATCCTATTCTCAGTGTCCTGGTTTTAACTTCTTCTTGTTCAAAAGCATTTACCAGAACCAATGAGGCAAAATATGGAAATAATTGGGAATGTCAGCTGCTGCCCCATGAGATCCTACAACTGAGCATGTTTACCTTCAGAAAGCCACAGGTATGTGTGTCTGGGGTGCGCACGTGTGGGTGTACCAGAATCCATGTTCCCTGGTGGCTTTTGTGGAAGGGAAAAAAATGCCCCCTCCCTCTCCTGACACCCAAAACAGCACAATGAGACCTGTCTCCACCTATCGCAGAAGGTCCCCAAATGATCTGCAAACATCTCAGTGGGCAACACTGTTTACAATTGGTTTCGTCTCGCCTGTTTGCATTGTTCAGGCATGAATGCAGGTCTGTTTCTCAATGCTGGTCCAGCATGACCCAGGACTAGCTGAAGGTCCTTCTATGCCTTTGGGTAAATGAGGAATGAATCCTACAGCCCCCCACACCAAAACACTCACAGGTTGGCAGCAATAAACTTCAGGACTTTGTATGGGACACACGGGCTCCCTTGGGCTGTAATTAACATGAAACTTTCCTGCTTTTGGCAAAGAGGTAAATGACGAGAGTATGGCTGTATGTGGGGGAACTCACAGCGGGGCTGGCCTTTGGTATTTTGCTGCCTGAGGTGGAGGACATAAAGGCAGCCCCTTCCCACTATTTGTTTAGAAGAGCGGTTCTCAACCTGTGGGTCCCTAGATGTTGTTGGACTACAACTCCCATCATCCCTGAGCTCTGGCCTTGCTAGCTAGGAGTAATTGGAGTTGTAGTTCAACAACATCTGGGGACCCACAGGTTGAGAAAGGCTGATCTAGAAGCTGGCTGGCTGGGTGGTTGAATGTGCTTTCAGCACTGGGGGGTGGGGTGGGACAAGTCCTTCTTGCACCAGAAGCAGCAGACTAATTTAGGGCCCCTGGTCAGCGCTTTGTGGCAAACTCCAATGGATGCTTCCATCAGGGAGCAACCACTGCTGTCCCTCAGCATCTGCTGCCTGAGGCACTTGCCTCCTTCTGCCTAATGGTAGGGCCATCCCCATCCCACAGGGAACAGACAAACCATTAAGGCATTGCTAAAAGGTGCAAAACTCTTCTAGTGCTGTGGCTTTTTTCTCATTCAGCTTCTACTCTTCTTAAGAGATCCTCTCAGCCCATTGATTGAAAAGCTGTGGAGGAGCTCTCTCAAGAGACTGTGTGCAGCGTCACTCAGCTAGGCAGTGGGGAAGGCACATGAACAGTGGCGAAGCTCAGAAGATCTCCAGGGAGATCTGGGGGAGATCCCAGTCTGAAAGCGGACACAGCCAGGCAAAAGTGATGGAGTGCAGAGGACAGAGTTTGGGAATCTAGGGAATCTCACGCGGTGGCACCTTGTCCCTGAGATTGTTTGCAATTGCTATAGCTCATTTGATTTACTAGTTGCTCACAACAACAAAAAAGTCTCTAGCCAACTTCCAAAAAAATTAAGAGCCTAAAGAATGGCATAAAAATGAAAACAATACATGACAATAAAACCATTACGACAGCCCACAGCAAATGTCAACAGCAGAAAAGTGTTAGCAATAAACAGCAGGCCACTGATCACAATCTGCCAGGTGCCTGGGAGAGGAGGGAGGTTTTTACCTGGCACCAAAAGGGGGTTAATGGTGGCACCTGGCAGACCTTCCTGGGAAGAGCATTCCTCGCAGTGGTGAGCCACAACCGTAAAGGCCACGCTCTTGCCAAAGCCTATCGTAGTGTTACCTTTCTGCAGGATCTCCAGATGTTCCCAGAGGATGTCTCCTACAAAATCCGGTGCCAGCTCCAGGAAGCAGTCCTTGCCCAGAGCACAGAGGGCAGCTCCATTCATACAAAACTTCTGGAAGTCCACGCCCTTCAGGCTGAACTCATTCACCGCCCACATCACCCAGTCCCGGACATGGGTTTCCGTCCATTGCTGAGGGTCTGCGCAAAGAAGTGACAGGAGAAAGGAATTGAAAGGCAGCTGCTCTGCGCACCATCTCATAAGGCAGGTGGGGGGAACCTCTGGCCTTCCAGATGTTGCTGAACCAGAACTCCCATCAGCCCCAGCAAGCATGGGACGATGATGGGAGTTGTAGCTCAGGGTCCTCACACCTAAATCTAATATATGGTGGAAACATCATCACACTGGGAAAGGAGAGATTAAAGGCCATGAAGGGACCATATTAAACTTTGGAGCCTTTTATCTTTCTCCCCTTTAACTGAATTTTCTCTCTCTTGCGGTCTGCGTTTCTACTTCTACTGGGTGCTGTGGATTTTTTCATGTGGACTTTAACTGTTTAGAGTGATTTCACTTTGTTCAGGCACATTTCCCGAAAAGTGGTCTATGAACCCATAGAGCAGCTGCCGCCGTTTATTCTGAGCTACAGGGGAGCTCAAAGGAATCTTAGGCAAATGATCACCACACTGGGGAAACTGTTATTTTCCTCCATGTGCAACTTGAATGGACTGATTAATGGACCACCTTACGCCTCCCATTAATGGACTAAAGCGCCTACGGTTAATTTTCTAAGATTTCCTTGATCAAGTGCCAGTCCTGCATGCATGTGACATTTACACCTTTTTGCTCCCCAGGGATGGTGGAGATGTTCAGCAGCCACGTTACAAAAGCTTTAGGGGACGTCGCTGCTGCAAAGAGGTTTTGACCCTGATCCGCACAACCAAATGACCGAGAAGCGGATGCGAGAGCTCATTCAGCAAAACAGCCGGTGTTCATTCAGAGCTGGATTCATGGGGAGCTCATTGTACCTTTGGGGATTCCCAGCCGCTGCTGCTCTTTCGTGAAACCGCTGAAGGTGGCCTTCAGCGCCTGCGACATCATTTCTTTGCTGCTTGGAGTTAACAAAGGCACGTCGGCACATTCCATATCTGGAAGAGAGAGAAAGGAGGGAAATGAGGATGGTTCAGTTCCAAAACTCAGGACGGTGCTGAGTCCTGAGTGGTCATCGCAAGTCACCTGCCTCGGCGTGACCTTTTTCTCCCAGTCTGAATATTCATCAATGGGCAGTTTTATATTTGCTACACGTTTAAATGAGTCAACACATCTTAAAAGAGGAGGCAAAGAGACAACAGGAGGAGGTTGAATAAGATTTCCCAAACTCCACTATTGCTGTGCTGCTCTTTGGTTCTGGAAAGAAAGGTGGGATTCAATGGGATGCTTTTTGTGGGCTGATTGTTTCTGCAGGACATTCCCTACTGCACCAATGCAGTCTAGCAGATCCATCTGTGATTTTGTGCGACTGCTTAGGAAATCAATCCTGAGGTTGCTGTTGGATTGTGATTCTAGACAAGCTCCTTGGGACGGCACAACGGCACAACGGCACTTTTTTCCTTTGGGCAGGCCCTCACTTAAATATAGTACACCCACCTCACAGTACACCAATTACACAAATTTCTATAAATTACCCCAGATTATCTTGTGGGAGGGAAAATTAATGATTTGGAGTCTCAGGCAGGATTTGATCAAATAAACAAGAAATGTTTTATTAAACAAAGGAAGTTTATGACACAAAGTGGGTAAAACAAAGGATACTTCAGGTTATAATATTATTTCAGGTAGCTGTTCACCTAATAATATTTATACTAAATCTAACTAATGTTATGGACTTCTAATCAAGCACACCTTCCTTTAAACTTCAGTTGCTTATGTTCAGCTAGTTTATGTTTACTTTGCTTCAGCTAGATGTCACAGGTTTTTAGATTAAAGGGTAAATGCTCAGCTTATTTCCAGTTATTTCCCTTCAGTTCTTTCTCAGTTGTTGCACAGCTGTTGCCGCTTAATACTTTGGTTCTTAAACAAGGTGGTACTTCCTGTCAGTTACACACCCCTTAGACAACCCTACTCCTGAGGTACTCCAAGTAACAGACCCAAGGGATCACTACACCCCTCTTAACTGGTTTGGGAGTCTTCTCTTTTTGTAGAAGAATCTCTCCCCTCCTGACCTAAGTGAGACCTAAGTAGACTGTATCTTTCCAGCTTCTACTTCTCATAATAATAATAATAATAATAATAATAATAATAATAATAATATATTTATACCTCGCCCACATCTGGCTGGGTTTCCATAGCCACTCTGGGTGGCTTGCAACAAAATATAAAAAATACAATAAAACATCAAACTTTAAAAGCTTCCCTAAAGAGGACTGCCTTCAGATGTCTTCTAAAAGTCAGATAGTTGTTTATTTCCTTGACATTTGACAGGAGGGCGTTCCACAGGGCGGGCGCCACTACCGAGAAGGCCCTCTTTCCTCCATGATTACCAGGCATATTATTAATCTCTCGTTGTAGTTTGATAAGAACTGTCTACAGATGAAGGGGAAGGACAGTTTGGACCCCATGTGAGAGGTGGGCAAGGAGAAATGTCACAGGTTGAGAGGCTGTGAGAAGAGAAGGGTGAGCCCAGGTGAGAGCTGGCAGAGAACAACATCCCCTCTGTAGATTATGAAAGTTAAGATATAGTAATGAGGGAGGATCTTGTCGTTTCTTTTTTCTGCTCCTCCTCTCTCACCGATGTTCAGAACAGTCAAGGTTGGCCACTCTCTAAGAGAAACTGAAGACATAAACCACAGGTTTTGCTGCAATGGTCAGAAGAGCTAACATTTTCAGATGCAACCGGTCGGCAGACATTCACCAGTTAAAGAGTTTGGTGTGGGAAAAGATAATCAGGCCATTGGATAATAAGTAACAGATTCCACGCATTGTTTAAATAATGTCGTTTGGATATTTAGAAGGTTTTATTAGCCAAGGCTCTGGAGAAATAAACACACACCCCAGCACTCTCTGCCATCCGTCTTCCGCTCTGAGATAACACCGAGAGAAAGTGTCCAGGACACTTTTCCCTGACCCTCGAGCCGCTTGTTTTTAATGATGGGTTTGAGAGAGCTCGGAGGTTACAAGAGACCACCCAGAAACTGCTCCATCACCTTTGCAGCCTGGTTTGGAGGGCAGCTGTGTTGCTCTCCCGGCTATGGGAGAATGATTCAGAGGCAACCTGGGGGAAGAGGGAGGAGGAGACTAACCCTCTTCAAGCAGAGAGAAAAACAGATGGACCAGAAATAGGTGTGCAACCGGAGGCCATGCACACTTACTCAAAAGGAAGCCCGCTAAGCTTTATGCTCTGAACCATCCTGTGATCTTTAGATGAAGGGCGGTAAAGTTCAGCGAGGCTCTCTAGAGAGTAAGTGTGATCACATGGGATCAGAGCCTTCAGAGACATAACATAGTACGCATCAGGTCACTGAACAGCCAATCTCAATGCCAGCCTTATTGAGCTGGAGAAAAAACCAGGTAACTAAACCCTATGTTTTTTTCATGGGAGTTAAGGTAAAGATAAAGGGACCCCTGACCATTAGGTCCAGTCATGGCCGACTCTGGGGTTGCGGCGCTCATCTCGCTTTATTGGCCGAGGGAGCCAGCATACAGCTTCCGGGTCATGTGGCCAGCATGACTAAGCCGCTTCTGGCGAACCAGAGCAACACACGGAAATGCTGTTTACCTTCCTGCCAGAGCGGTACCTATTTATCTACTTGCACTTTGCCATGCTTTCGAACTGCTAGGTTGGCAGGAGCAGGGACTGAGCAATGGGAGCTCACCCCGTCACAGGGATTCGAACCACCGACCTTCTGATCAGCAAGTCCTAGGCTCTGTGGTTTAACCCACAGCGCCACCCACGTCCCTTTTCATTGGAGTTACTTTCAAGTAAATATGCACAGGATGAAGTTTTTCAGCCTTAATATGTAGCAGTATGCATTGTCTTACACCGAAAACCTACGAATGCTCAAAAGTAAACCTTGCTGATTTCAAAGACGTGTACAGTGGTACCTCGGGTTAAGTACTTATTTCGTTCTGAAGGTCCGTTCTTAAGCTGAAACTGTTCTTAACCTGAAGCACCACTTTAGCTAATGGGGCCTCCTGCTGCTGCCGCACCGCAGGAACATGATTTCTGTTCTCATCCTGAAGCACTATTTCTGGGTTAGCGGAGTCTGTAACCTGAAGCGTATGTAACCTGAAGCATATGTAACCCGAGGTACCACTGTACTTCCAAGTAGGTCTGTTTGGGTCTGCAGCCTTTAAGGAGTGTGGGGAGCAACACTGTTGCTTCAGTCAGGCATTTGAGGAAACTGAACAGGACGGAAGGCCTGTTAAAACATCTCTGCTAATATCACAGGGGCACAAGGAGAGCCAACAGATTCCAGCTCCTCCTGGTTGCATACAAGTTCCAGTTATACATGGATAATCTTGAGTTTTACAAGAGCGCAATGCTAGATCTCGAGGAGCAGATACCGAAACCCGACTCCGCCCCGCAAAGCGTTCGGATTTCACAATGGCATTTTCACCCACAACCATCAGCAAAATGCAGGGTTGCTATTGCAACATCAGCCTTGCAGCAGATAACGGATGGTAACTAACTTGAGATAAAGCAAAGCTCCAGGACAAGCTGAAGAAGTTTAGATACCGGCCTTGAGAGTGCAAGCAAAGGTCAAGCACCCCTTGTGAAATCAAGGGGCCAGGTTTGCTACCCTGGAGGGCCACTGCACATGTGATGTGGTGGGCCATTCAGTGTCATCCCACCGGGCAGGCTGATTTCACAGCCACTCCCTGTGGCACTCAGGGATACCTGTAGGATGTGGTTGTGCTGGACTCAGGGGTGGAGCATCTGCTTTGCATGCAGAAGGTTGCAGGATGAGTCCCCAGCAGCATCTCCAGGTAAGGCTGGGATAGACATCTGCTTGAAATCTTGGACAGCTGCTGCCTGTCAGTGCAGGCAGTGCTGAGTTAAATGGACCAATGGTCATTCTCAGCATAAGACAGCTCACTGCGTTGCTGCATTCACACCCATGTTTGTCACATCCACATGCTGTGTCTTAAGTGTGTGTTTAATAGCCTTAGCTGCACGCCTAAAATTATCGTGTGTGAAGTGGTCCTAAAACGCACCTTTCAATAAGCGTAGGGGAGGAAAAGTTATCTATGGAAATGCATCTCCTCCCCAATTTCCTTATGGACAAGAATTCCAAAATGTAATTTGGCATGTGGGGCAACGTACATTGCCATCCCACTTGCATCTAGTAAAATAACTCCTCGTTGGGTTTGCACGTGTGAAGTAGCAAAGAAAAGAAAGAACTTTGTCATCATCCAAGAATTGGACCTTAAAATGATATTGGCTCTGTTGGGGTCCAAACCAGGGTAGGTCTTTTTTTTTTTTTTTTGCCGCAAATCTAATTATGTTTAAAACCCAGGCCACGAAGGGAGAGGGAGAAACTGGAATGGCAAGAAAGAGCACCCATGTTCCTCGCTGGGGTCTATAAGATAAAGGGTGTCACCCGCTCCTATTGCTCTACTATGAGTGTCCCAATCTGTGTGGTTCTCCATCAGAGGCTTCCTTGCTCCTCTAACTCACACAGTAGCCAAGCTGAAATCAATGTCCGGTTGGTCACAGCAGGAGTAGCCTGACCTGGTCAGCCGTTCTGCTGCCCCTCCTGTCTCAGGATCTGATGGATGGAGCCAGAGGTCAGGGACCAAGCTCACTGCTGTCTTCTGCAGGAGCAAAACATCTTTCTTCCCCACCACTCCCCATCCTCGTCTTCTTACTCAAACTAGACAGGGAAAGATACCCGATGCATCATTGTCACGAGGGCAAAGAGCAACTCCAGCTGTTCTGCAGACCCCGAAACTGAAGGAGGCGGCAGCAGCAGAGGCTGGCCCATTCGAGTGAAAGGCACACTGCTCCACCAACCTCAATCTGCCCCCAGCCACCCCATCCACCAGATATGGGAGGCAGTGCTGCCTAACAGCTTCTTCCTCCTGAGTCTCAGAGTTGCCCCTTGTAGAACTCAGCAGGGAGGAGGACCAAACTGGAATGAGTTGGCTC